GCCTCCCCTCCCGCAGACCCCGGCTGGGCCCGGCGGGGCAGGGAGACCCTCAAGGCTCCCAGTAACACCCAGGACCCCCGGAGACTCTGACAGGGGCCCGAGATGGTGGGGGCACAGAGCACACGACCTCCCCTCATCCCCTACCCGCACGCACCTCTCAGACCCGCCTCCGCTGCACATTTAACTGAGCCCCACGCTTGGCGCCGCAGCCCGCCCCCTCCTTGAGAGAACGGAGACACCTGATTGGCCCTCGGCATGCCAATCTCATGAATAGCCAATAGAAAGCCACTCTTGAACTTAGAGCGCCCACCTGGAACACGCGTGCTTAGCGGCACTCGGCCGGCTTTTGGACTTGCGCTTGACGTCACTTTTCTGCGCCGAGATCCGCCGCGGAAGACGTCCCCACCTCCCACGTAGGGGTGGAGCCACGGAACTCGCCCCGCCCTCGTTGCCCGGGTGATTCCCGCCAGGCACGGGCGGCCCCCTAAGGCCTGAGAGGAGTCCCCTGGCACCCTGACAGGGACCCCCAGGGCCTGGCAGCACCCACCCTTGCTCGCCACACAAACTAGGGTGCTGCTGGCCACGGCAGGCCCTGCAGTTGCTGTGCCAGCTGCTAAAGCAGTGAGATGTGGCTCTCTGGAGAATGTTGGTGGATGTGCTTCTAGCCAGCACATCCTGAAGGCTCTGTCCAAGGCCGTTCTTGGCCGTCCTGATCAGGTCTGAGGGAACGTGCTGGGATGCAGATGTTGTGGTTTGAGTGGACAAGAAAACATCTCTGAGGACAAAATTTCCAGGGAAGGAATCGGTTTAAGTGTTTTCATTTCTATAAATACCATGTGCACAAACATTTCCATTTCCCCTTGGTAATTTAAGAGCAAGAATCTTTACCAGAAACAAACACCCAGCACACTGGAGCTTTTTTTTTTTTCCATGACAACCTGAAACAAGGGTTTTGTTCCTGTTTGCTTTGGTCTCAGAGCTGAGATGCTGGCTGTGGTAGCAGATGCTGGGGGTAACAGCTCCAGTTATATGCACTGATAAGAGAGAAACCTTCACACCTCTGCTTTCTTCTCCTATCTGAGTCAGGGCCACATTTGCTGTTCTCCTTCAACCTCCTTCTCACACCATGGGATGCCAATTCTGTCCACCAGCCATTGCTGCCGGGGTGGAGAGAGCCTTTTAACTCTGGATCACATCCTCATGCCGTGGTCTCTCTGGTGCTCTTCATTGGAAACCTCTTCCCGTACCACCAGTGGGGTGTATCACATCATTTGGGAATGCATGGCCACTTATTATACAGAGAGATTATAGAAGTCCTAGTACTGTAGCAACACGCTACAGGGCTGACAGCATTAGAGCAGACAGGCTACTCTGTAGGTAGCGGTATCTAAAATTAGAGGTGTAATTTAAGCTTTTGTTCCAGTGTGAATAGGGAAAGCATGTTTTCTATGTTTAGACTTCCCAAAAATAAGGATTGTTTTATTATGCATCCTATTGTGACATCCTGTGGTTAAACACAGTATTACAGGTACCATCAAATCAATTTTGACCATGATTTCATAGTTACACTACGTGAATTTAGCAGCGGTACCTCGTACCTCCCAGCTTTACACATTGACTGTAGCTATATAGCTTTGATCGTTCTCCAAAAACATCTTCAGGATGATAAGAAATCACATTAGGCCAAACATGAATATGGGGTAGCACATGTGTGTGTTTGCCAGAAATTACATTCTCACTACCCTTTATGATAAACAGCCTAAGTCAGTACGTTGATTGTTTGCATGCTATCCTTGTGAAAGACCATAAATCCACATTTTCCCTTTAGGCAGCATTTATATGCTAAGGATTAAGCCTCTCCAAAGAGAAACAAGAAGCACCCAAGCCTTTGCACAACTGCAGTAGACCTCAAGGTTGTATACAGCATATGCGTTAACTGCACTTATGCTCACATCTCTTACAGCATCATCAAAGATTATTTTTCCCAGGTCAAGGAACACACCTATCTCTGCTACACGAGCTGCTCATCCTCCACCTCAGCAAAACAGGATTGGGTACTCATAGCTGCAGGTAATTCAAGGGACTGCAATTACCCTTCAGTTAGTCCTAAGCCAACGCTCCAGCTCACCAGCCCCAGCGCGCAGAGGAATGGCTCCAATGACACATGAAATTGAGGTCTTGACACGTTGACATCATCAGTAAGCCTTGGCATTTTTCTCACAATTAGTTGGATGAGAGGTTGACTTCGATCCCAGCTGGGGAATTAGCATTGTTCATTAACAGCACATTTCCATTTCATCAACCTACAATATTTCAAGCCCCAAGCTAAGCAGCTGGATATTCATGCCGTTTTAAAGAGCCAAGATAGCTGATCAAGACAATAGATGGAGCATATCTGTTATGTCTTCATTGTTTAAGCTTGTCAGGAAGACAGGCAGAGCAGCCTCCCTGGATAATCCTGCATTACATGGGACACAAACAGTTAATGCTTTTTTTTTAAACACCAACTGCAAAAAATATCCATGCAAATGTAGGTTTCTAAGGGGTGATAAATTATGAAGAATTATGCTGTGCATGCCTCTGTGCACTAGCCTTCAGTGAATTGCTTAGGGAAGGCCTAGCAAAAACTAGGTATGGCTTTATAAATCAAGTACTTCCAATGACATTCAGAAACCAAAAAGCAGCTTACATAAAACTGGCTTCATGTTGATGTATGTTGTCTGTCAAGCAGATTGCTGCACTGTGTGCCAGTTCACTTCCAAAAGGACCAAGACATATGACAGTAGCTTGTATTTCAGACTTTTGTCTTAGGAGACTCATAGTTCAGAGTTAGCATGACCCAAGCAAAGCTGGTTGTGTTTAATACTAATTTTAATTTTAGTCTTCTTCCTACCACCATTCCCCAGTTTCCTCCACCAAGTATTTTTCATAGGATTACAGCTCTTATTCCAAATATAGGAAAAAGAGAGTTGGCCTAAAAAGGGTGGCAGTTTATTGAATGCATAAAACAGTATGATACAAAAATAACTGCATAGAAAATTTTAAATAGTCATAGACAAGATTAACTTTAAAGTAGAGAGAGGTTTGATCCAGATGTGAAGAGCCTCTACTATCTGCATCTGAAAGACATAAGAATGCACTGTCAGGGTTACATGACAAACTTTCTGTAACAAGGTGATACCCCATGCCAGGGAAGGGATTGGGACATTTATTTAGACAAGACGCTTGCTGTGCTTTCCCTGCATTCTGGTGCCACGACATTTTCCCAGAACTTGACTAAGCCTCACGCTGAGCAGGTGGGAAAACAGCCTGCTGTGACAATTTGATGCTCTAATGCTTGTGTCTATATAGCTATTTTAATCACTACAATACGGAGAAGTAAAGATTCACTCGTGCTGCCAGAACCCCTCTACCACATTCCCAACAGCAACCAAAGGTCAACTACCAACTCTAGAGCAGTCAGTGGTATGACAGTGGCACTCCTACACCATGTTGACACAAGACTATTTTTAAACAATCTTATTTGTCTTTTCTCCTTTTATAGCTTATACCTGTTGTGCTGAAGGCTCCCATTAGATGGCACTCCAATTGCTCCTGTTGACTTGAAGGCACTTTGAGAGGCTCTCATCAGAGCTGCGTATCTACAAAGAAATACAACCAGGTTCAGCACCTTTTAAGCACACTGCCAGCAGTTTCATTCTTCCATGTAGTTGCATTATCTGCATCTGTCACACAAGTCTCACATTCTTACTGCACAGAACAAGGAAGGTACATCTGCCTCTAAGAGATATTTTCATTAAAACTATGTTTAAACTTTGCTTGGCAAGATATTTATTTTGTTCTTTATTACTTCAAGGTGATGGGAGAAACTACAATTCTAATAGGATCCATACCCCAAAGGGTACTGGAGATGGTAAGTACCTGTTCTCAGTTCAGAGACACTGAGCCATGCTATTGAGATAGGCAAGCTCAGAAGAATTTTAGGAAGGCATTTGACAAAAAGCTTTTATCCTGGCTCACAGGCTTTCAGAAACGAGGCCCAAAATACAACAAGGAAATAGTGGCTGTGTTGTTCAAGTGAGCAGTAGTTTACAAAATTCCCTATTTGTCTAAGCTCCCCACCAACCCTTGATACTAGCTCTGAAATTTCAGCTTGAGCTCAAAGTATCACAGATACAACTTACCCTGCCTTGGAGGTGGGGTGGCTCCTCCCTTTACAGTCATGATCCAAAGGATGCCGGTGTTCTATGCAGAAGTTGCCACCACACTGTTCACAAACTACCTTCATCATCTCTTTCCTTTTGCAGCCTGGCTTTAAGCACTTGTTTGTGAAGATCTAAGTAACAGAGGACATGATATCGGCAATGCTTGCTTGCTTTCTGTGATCATCACCCCAAGTAATGACCAAGCTGAAGCATGAATGCTCAAGCACTCTTAGAATTAAAATGAAGCAACAAGCTTCTACATGCTCTGCTATCAAAGACCTAACTTCACAACGATTAGGCAGGCAGTTTAGATTTCAACAGCAGTTCCCTTACCCTCTGCTTTTGCTGTGCTGGATTGTATTCACAGTCCTTATCCATGTGGGCTCCAACCACAACATCTGCTATGTCCCCCTTCTGAACTGGGATAGGTGTGTTACAGAGTGGACACACTGGAACCTGCACATTCTGAGAAGACAACGCATATTAGAAGTTCCACTATTTTTCCATCCTTCCTCTTCTCCTACCCTTGGGCAATAGGAGTCTATTCACAAGTGAATTGCTTTCTGCTCATTTACTAATGCTCTCACAGATATACTTCACAAAGGTAACTGCAAATCATTATCCAAAAAATTAGTCAGACATGCTTTACCAAATCAATTTGTAGCAGCAAAATCAGTAAGTTGACTTTAAATATGCTTCTATACTTTCTGAAATTACAGCCTTTGAACACTTCAAAGCCCAAGTATAGGCCAGAGATCAAAGTTTGACTCCACTTATTCTATTTATTTCTTCTGTAGTTTCATGTTTGCTGTCCTTCAGCTTAAAGGACAGGGGCTGCAGAAAGTTTCAGGCCACATGACATTACGTAAAATATAAAGCACTCCTCTCTGGAAAGATGTGGTTTAAGTGAAAGAAACCCAAATCTAGCAGTACTGACCTCTGAAGTGTTCTGTTTCTATATATCTGAAGTTCAACTATATCAATAACTTCCATCTTGTGGTTCTCTCACCCACTTTTACTGAAACCACAGGTCAGGTTTCAGAGCAGCCTTTACACCTGACTTAGCAATTCTGCAGGGAGAACTACTGACTCACGCATAGGAACTTACTTTCTTGTAGGCAGAGCCACACTTGTGGTCATCATAACGGATGTGATCTTTGCAGAAGACTTCCCCACATGCATCACATTTCAGAGGAAGAAAGTCTGGGAACAGAACAAGAAAAAAGAAAACAGATTCACATGGAGCAGAGCTAGCAGCTGTCAAAGTACTTACAGAAGGCTGTCTAGTGATAATCCAATTTTCTCTATAGAAAGCACATCATTCTTCATGAAAATTAAAACAAAATAAGTAAGAGGGACAAGTTTTCCTTCTTTTCATCTAATGTTAGACTAACACAAGCCATAAATACCTCAGGAGCTCCCTGAATACAGGTATCTTAGTGAGGCATTAGCCAAAAGTTGAAGTGCAAGCCCAAAGCCTAGATTCAAAAGCATTTTTATTCTTTAAAAACCATCCCTTAACAGTTTAACAACACACGAGAAAATACACGGGGCTCGACTATTACTTTTTCACCAGACCTATCCAAGAGAGACTACGGAAGCAACACTGGTACCTGCCGCTAACCACAACCCCGCTGTAGACTCGGGGTACGGAATTTGCCCCCCCGTACACAACCCTTACGAGTGCTGCCCGAGGATAACCAGCTCGCTCCCGGAGCACCTCCCCGGGGAGCCGGTTCCCACTCATGGCTCCATTCGGACGGCACCGAACCCCCAACCGCGCCCCGAGGGGGCTCCGCAGTGGCTCCTTACCCAGCTGCTTGCAGGTGCGCTCCGAGCAGTGCTCGCCCAGCTCCGGAAACTCCATAGCAGCAGCAAGACCGTGCCCA